GGAAGCGATAGAGCCATCTCTTTCGCTCCTCCGTCTTGGTGTTTTTTGTTTTGTTTTGGTTTTTTCTGGCTATTTTGGGATCGGACATTTTCCTTCATGATGGATGAAAGGTGGTGTTGATTTGGCGTTTATCTCTTTTTCCCTTCTTTCTCCCTTTTTTTCGAAACTTCTTCTTCGATGGGGGAGGGGGAAAGTTACGCTGGGTCTTGCTTGTTTTTTTGCCATGGGGTGGCGGGTTGTGAATCTCCCCCCTCCCCTCCCTATCCCCATCTTTTTTTTCTCCCCTTATCCTTCTTGCCTAGTAATGTCAGGGCGAGAATGGGTTGTTTCCCTTTTCTTTTTTTTTCACTTCTTTGCTTGCTATGCAAGCCCCCACCCTCATACAGCTTCTTTTCACTCAACGGTCGGTGGAGAGGAGAGGGGTAAACATGGACACCCTTTTTTTTACCCTCCCCTTCCCGCCGGGTACTCCCATCAAGCTGGCTTTCTTGGTTTTTTTTTCAAAACACACTTTTTTTTGCGGATTTGGAAGGAGGTGGTGGACACACCCCTCTTCATCGCACTTTTAGACGGGTGAGAGATGAAGAAATATCATCATTCATCCTGGTGTGCTTTTTCATGAAATACGAATAGAGAATTCAAACACTTTTTTTTTTTGAACAAATGAGGCCTGAACTGTATTTGGTTATGCTGTGCTGTGATGATTTGGTGTTGGGGTGTACAAGATGAACATCTTCCTGCTCAAAAGGTCTTTTATGAAAGAGTCCAAATGGATAGATCAAAAGACATGTTCTTGATACGATACCTTACATCGTGATATCTAGAACCTGGCCGAAGGAGACTCAGTCCGTTCCGGCTCGCTCAAGGTCACATGCCAGAGTATTTGCCCTGTGTATCTGAATCATTGATAATAGCTCGAAGACTCGATGTAGTTTGAGCCCAAGAATCATCCCTTTGTCTTCCTGAAAGTGCTCTTGCGCCATCTCTTGAAAAGAATAGCCTATGTGTCACGAGTTTACACTGACTTGTGCACACCATAAAAGCCATCTCCACACGACTTATCCATTTAGCCCCAGCACTGTTACCTAGCCAGTGCAGTAGCACTTCCACAGGGGATATCAAAAAAAGCCCGGGATTGTCTGTTCATATCACGAGAGTGAGATGTTGCACACAAGCAGTCGTGGTGTAGGTAGAACCCCTCCCATCTCGGCAGTGACCCACAAAATACGACTTGAGACCCATTTGACCTCGAACTTGGTAGGATACTCTACCATGCCCACCGATACAACAGGTACTTGCCTATACCAACCCAGCTGTCTTTTGGTTTTGAGACTCCCAGAACCAGCATACATCGTTAACCACAGCCCTCGTTCAGAAAACAACAGCCCACTGTAACCAACATTTCCATTCCTCTTCTTTCCATTTGCTCCACAACTTGAAAAAAAAAGCTTATATCAACCAAGCAATAAACCTTATCCCCCTTCCCCTTCCCCTTTTCTTCTACGCAGAACATCAAAAGGCAAAGAAAGGTTGTTCCCAGGTCACGCCACCGTAATTATACATACTTTGCCTTCCCCCACAACGGTCCGACGAACTTGCTGACATCGCATTGCAAGCGACGGCTAAACCCACCCAGTCTAGCTGCGAATAGACCGTTTCTTTGCTTACGTGGTGGGATATGGGGCGGAGATGTGCGGGGAGGTCTTGTGTGCGGAGAAGGGATGAGTTGGTCAAGTAGAGGGTTGTTCTGGATGGGATTGATTGTGTGAGCGATGTAGTACTGCAAAGGCAACTGAGAACTATAGTGTCAGAGTGTGAGAGCGGTTGAGTGGGAAGATGTAGTATCACAACATATTCCATGCCTCCGAGCATTTGGTGAATGCTTGGATACCTATCCGCACATTTTCCCTGAAGTAGTGAGAGCTATACTGCATAAAAGTAAATCAAATATTCTTTCAACACCAATCCACTTGAGTCATATCGCCAAGAAAAGGCGGAATCCAATGTGGTATCAAATCATTTATTGCAACACTGTCATGATAACTAGCAGTTTTGTCCTTGTACCCACATCATGCAGCATCGATAAAACGCCCTCCCAATGCAACCCATCCACTTCAATTGATATACAAAATGGAGAAAAAGAAAAAGAATAAAACACGCATTAAAGCCATCTAATGTACACCATTGACGGGAAATTGCAAGCTGTCCAGCTCCTCCTTTCGTCGCCTGTACACCTCCTGTGCCTCTCTCTCCCTCTTCGTGACAAACTGGACTTCCTCGCGTAGACGCTCCAACCTGCGTTCCACGGCAGTCTGCTCGTTGTATTCTGCCGTGCGCGCCGTGTTAAGATCATTTCTTGCCTTCTCCAGCGCTGCAAAAGCGCCTCCGATCTTCTCTCGTAGCAGAGCTGACCGCTTGGCGTATCCGGCATGATGTGTCATAAGGCGCTTCTCAATCTTGTTCGCACGTTCGGCGGCGTCGATGATTGCTTCTTGTGCCTTGTCAAAGGCTTCGACCATGAGCTGGTGCTCGTCAATCTCATCTTCTTCGTAGCCTGCAATACCAGGGAGAATGGCGGAACCATGTAGCGTTGTCCAAGCAGTATTGACATCAGAGTGGAACGCTTTCTTGTCCTTTTCTGTCGTCATGGCAAGTTCGAGAGCAAGTTCCATCTTTGCATTTCGGAGCGCCTGGTCTGACATGGACTCGATCTTTTGTACGGTACCGGTGACGCGACCGTTTCCAAACTTCTTAACGTCGTTTGCAATGAGTTTGGCCATCTCGACTTCAACCTCGCGCTCTACGGGATCAGAAAGATCGAGTGCACGCTTCATCATGGCATCGATGTCGATCAGCGATGGCCTTGGGAGGAACTTCTGAACAACCTGAGTTTGTCGACCAAATTCTGCAGCCTCTTGTGCCTCGCGAGCTTCACGAGCTTTCCGGTCACGTTCAGCTGCGTCCTCATCGCTAATCTCGACCTCCATTGGCTCTGCTTGCTCTTCGGGTAGTTCAAACTCCCAGCTCTCCTCTTTGGGCTTTGGCAACGCAGCAAGCTTGCTCTTCAAGTCCTGACGCTTTGCCTGCTCTCTCAATCTTATATCGCGAGGCGTCTGAGAAACCAGTTGCATGCCGTCTTCCTCCCCGTTCAAGCGCAGCGTGTCTCGAGGTGTTCGCATCGGTGTCGCTCCTGGTCCTTGTCGCATTGGTGTCGCGCCTACTCCACCATTGGCCTGCCTAAAGGGGGTTGCCATCGGGTTCGGGGTTACAATCTGATGCCGTGAAGCGGACCCAGATAATGAAACAGGTGCCTGGTCTTCTACAAGATCTGGGTTGTCTCCACCAAGCAGAGCAGACTGTGTCTCTGTCCTCATCCGAGCATTTCGAATTTCGTTTGCGACATAGTCTTCTTCCTTAGGCGCCATCGGTGTTCGAATCGGTGTGTTACCAACCACATTCGAGTAATCCCCGATCAGACCCTGGGTTGCCATGTTGTCGCTGCTTCCTGCACTAATTGCGCGTTGGCCGGTTGCTCCCATCTTGACAATATCCTCAAGCTCGGCTTCTCCAACCTGTGGAGATGGTAGTATAAGCGCACGCCGTTTGCTGCTCTGCTCTGCTTCTCGTATCCTCTGCATCTGCGCGGCCTTTGCATATGACGCTGCGAGACCTCCCGCCTTCTCATCCTTTTTCTTCTTTCGGTCACCCCCACCGTCCTCCTGAGCTTCCATCTTCCTCTTGTTCGCAAGTTGTTGTTTTCGCGGGTCAAAGGCTTCTCGTTGTCGCTCGTTGCGGTCGATTTCTTCGGTCGTGTCGAAGAAGCCTGCGGGGACTTCTTTCTCGAGCGGAACGTCGGCATTGTAGTCGATGTGGTTGCCTTTCTTTGGAGTAATCTTGATGTTGATACCAGCCGCCTTCAGCTCCCGTCTCTTCTGAAGTAAGGCAAGCCTTCTTGATTCCTCCAGTTGCCTTTCACGAGCCTTTCGCTTGGCCTTCTTACCACTAACGTTGGATAAACGCGCACGCGCCTCTCTGTGCACAACATGTCAGTTATAGTTACATGTATAGATTTTTGGGAATACATACGAAAGCATCTCCTTGTCTTCGTCCTCTAGATCCACGGCATCTGGTCTAGCAGGACGACTTTCGGCGTAGGCGTCAACCTCGCCGGGACGCAGGCGTCTAACGTCCTCTGCTGAGGGAGCCGCCTCTCCGCCTTCTGGACCCGCGAGTCCTAGATCGCTAGACTCACGAGCTTCTTGTTCATCCAAGAGCTTCTGGTATCTTTCCAGACACTGTGTCGCTGTCCGTCCGACGATGGGCGCAATCGTGCGCCATTGGGTAGGAAGGAGTTTCGCCATGGTCAGGAGCTTCTCGTCCGATTCGCGATCCCATTCGGTTTTGCGAATCGACGGATCCAGCCATTCTTGCCATCTGGACTATTTGGTGTCAGTATTCTAGCGACAGCTAGTGTCTATGATGAAAGCGCGTACCTTGCATTGTTTCGCGCTCTTCTTTGCTAGCAGAGATGCGCAGCGTGACCACTGATTCAGCCCATATTTACTGATGGCAGCCTTCAGCACTTCGTCCTCGACGTTCGACCAGGAAGATGTGACGACCATTTTGGATGGTTTTTGCGGGAAGTTGGTGGAATGGCGCGTGCAGTGCAATGCGACCGCGAGGAACTCAAAGTTCAAAGGGCTGCAGATACTAGCGTCTTGGCAGAAACAGGCATCTGCATTGGGCCAGCAACACAGCACTTGAATAGCTAAGCATGGAATTTGTGATTTCTATAATATCGGTAATAGAAACCGGCGATTCGGACAGTAAGGGAGTTGGCTGCATGCGTCATTTCATTCGCGTGGGCTTTCGCTATGACCGTCTGTGTTCGCGTTGCGGACATGGTCACAGTGACGTAGAACCATCACCGCAGTCTTTATGCCGCTGCAGTCGCTTCAATGTACAGCAACCCATCTCTTGATATGATGCTTTTACGCCAAATGCCTCGAATTACTCCTATTTCTTCTATCACACGATACTCACACCTACCTGCACGGCCGGTGTTCGCCTCACTTAGGGATTACTCAGACTCGACCTCCAATAGCACGAACACAAACTCGGTTGGTGGCGATTCTCAAAAGTCAGGTGATAAGATTTCCGAAGCGCCAAAGCCTAAGAGAAAGACACAAGCGGAGCTCGATGCGGAGCTTATGGAAAAACTGCAAGGGCTTGACAGTGAGGGAGGTGCAGCTGGCGTTGAATACGAAGACGGAAAACCTGCTTCTATGAAGAGAAGTGTGCGAAACAACATGTTCAGATACATATGATGCGCATAAGTATGCCACTTAGGCGTTATGCCATGGGAATTTCTTTGGTGAAGTTCAGTGGTAAATATGCCTGTGGCAAGACTTACTTTCAAATTTACTAACTTCAATAGGCCTACTACCTGATAGAGCTATTGTATTTCTGGGTTTCTCGCCGTTGGCGAATACCCCACAAAGTACCTGACTGTATCTTGATAGTCACCACAAATATACATATGGCAAACAATCTAATAATTTGACCTTTTTTGTCCCACTGCAATTTAGCTCGAGTACTTCTATCTGTAGTAACAGCTAACTTTTGGCATTCCACTGGTTGCTCAAAGAAGTTCCCTCTGGGGTGACGCACGACCTGTGCACAATCGTCTGAACTCAGATATCATTTCACAATATGGTCTGATGTGATTTTCGAAATCAATAACTTTACTTGTCCCCTACTGATATGGCATGGGTGCATATAGGTATGTCCCACGTGAACACGCGATGACCAGGCTAGCCCAATATGTATTAGAAACTATATGTACTTGAGCTCGACGCTCCACTTGGCTCAACGCTGACGATGTGCTATTGCCACCGGGTCTTTCGCTTCTAGCCCTAGCGACAAGTTGCCCCGGAACTGCACAGTTGAAATGGACAGTGATAGTAGACCCAAGAAGAAGCGAAGAGGTGGGACGCGGAGCAAAACAGGTACATGTCACCCTTATCGATAACGAATTCAAGTAAACTAATGACATCAAGGCTGGTTTGTTCACTACACTGGCAACTCGGTGTTCACTCTGCTGACTCTGCTTTTTCAGCACAACATGTAAGCGTCGTCACACACGCTGTGACGAGAAAAAACCTATTTGTGGAAATTGTGAACGTCTGCAGCTCGAATGCGAGCAGCCAGAAGATGTTCGTACTGCTCCCCACGCCAATTCATCTGGAGACGAGGTGAACAAAGACACACCCTCGCTTGTTGATGTCTTCAAGCTACGGATGAATGATTTAGAACTTCCTGAGGACTCAACGCCAACTCAAAGCTATATTCCGGTGAACGGTCTATCGCCAACGGGATCAGCAAGGTCAAATAGTCCAAAGCCAAGGATACGATTGACCTCAGAAAGCGCTTTCCTCTTGCAGACGTACGTACGCACCGTTGCGACATGGATGGATATATTCGATCACGGTTCTACCTACCAGCATAAGGTACCGCAGCTTGCTCTGGGATCACCACTATTGTTTCATTGCGTATGTGCATTCACCGCCAATCATTTGGCCCTCTCGAATCTCAGTCATGACCCGTCATGGGGAGTTTGCGCCGTAAGACACTACGGTGAAGCTCTGCGTCTACTGATTGAAGCTTTAAGTATGCCGGAGCACGAGCACGCGCTGACGGCAAGTATGCTGCTGTTGAGTTATGAGATCCATGGAGCGTTACGGTCAGAGGATTATCGGAGGCATTATCTAGGCCTTGTAAGCCTCGTCAAGTCACGGCGTGTCACTGCGCAATCGACTGGCATTGATCTTGCCAATTTTTGGATCTACGTTCGGCATGAAATCGTTGTTGCAATGGCAAGCGAACAGCCCTTGGTGTTCAACCCTGCTGAATGGGAGGTCTCTTGGGTAGAGGGTGAGACGCGGGAAGACGTACTTGGAAACCATGTTCTTTGGATATTGGCCCGAGTGATAAATCTGGTCTTCGGACCAGACGGTGATACGGAAGTTGGTAAGCTACAACGGCAAGATTTCCTGCATGAGATGGAAATATGGCGAAGAGGTCTCTCTGAGACTTTTAGTGGTATCCCACATGGAGAAAAGGATGAGGATGGCTTCTGCAAAGTATATTTTCCGGTTGCTGCAGCTGCGGCAGCCGCGTTCTGTATGTTCAAGCTTGCTATTAATAGTGGCTTGGGGAACACTGACCAAGCCAGGGTACCATATCGCGCACATACTACTTTATGCAGAGCCAGCACTACAGGACGAGGCCTACATTCCACTGATCCAGGAGCAGGCCATCAAAGTCACTGACATAGCCATATCGGAATTTCCACCGTCATTGATGGTTTTTTCTACTCATGGCTTATTCTACGGTACGTTTATGATGATTGTGATCAATATAAAAGGCCGACCCTTGTACTTGAAATTAACGACATGGCGATGCAGCGGCGAAACACATCCAGGGTATCTCACGGAAGGCGCGGATCTGGAATGTTCTCAACGAAGTCGAAACACAAACTGGTTATGATACGAGAACAACAGTGAGACTTCTCCAGTCACTTGTTGAACAAGATGCAAGTCGCTAGAAATACAACTGTCATCAATGACAATGTTAGATCTCACCAACGAATATTCCAAAAACGACATATCAAATCTGCATATACCCCATCATATATCTTTTTTACGAAACCATACATCATCAGCTCGGGCCTGCACAATGCATATCCTTGCAATTCGTCTTGCAAAAAGTATTTTGTGGCGCGCATCCTGAGAGGCAGCCGTGGTATTTGTTGTCACACTGGTCATCTCTGGCCTTTAGGTCTTACACGTTAGTTATGAGCCCCACACAAATACGGAGGTGAGGTATAAAGAAGTAGAAGGGGGGAGAAATTCAAAAAATGAACTTTTAGGTCTTGTACAGTATCGTGGTGCAGTGGTGGTGCTGCCAGCGCAACGGTGGTGAGGACGAGCGAGATGAGTGCTGTAAGATGCATTTTTTCTCTGTTTTTCTTTTGATAGTGGGTGAGGTGCGGGTAGTGAGTGCTTCTGTACTTCAGACGAGAGCAATGAGGCAGGTAGATATCCAAGTCACCCGTATCAATACATTCCGCTGATTGAGATTATGCATTCATCAAGAAACCATTGCGATGGCCGTTGATTATATATTAAAAGGAGAGTGGGGCCATGTGTACTTATGTAATACTTTAGTGCTGATGGGGTGGTAGGTACGGGATCAAAACTATACCGGTGCCGGTGGTCGATGGGTTGCGTAATGTTCTCCTGTTTAGAGTTTTGCGTGACTGGGTGGCTTTTTTAGGTAGTTTTGTGAATATATAACTGTCTTGCTAAATGTAACTAAGGCTACTTGGATATGAATGTATGTATCTGCAAGATTTTCATGTAGTGGCCTGTGTACAAGATAGTTTTATATCACGAAATAAGGGTATGACCGAGACTGAAGAAAGGCACGGTCACAGAGTAAGGTGCTGTTAGCATGAATAACACGTCAGCTGTGTTGATTTATGGGTGCATCAAATAGTAATAGTAATAAGAACTATTTGCGTGGTAGCAAATAAGAGACTATCTGGTGACTGGCAGAGTCAAATGTTTACGTGTGGTGCCGATTGGTATAAAGTTTCTGCTTGGCTGATGCACGGTTTTCTGAGTTTCATTGCATATTAACATGGAACGGAGAGTGCACTGTCCATAACGTTGTTTAGGTGAATGCTACCGCATCCAATGATTGAAATTCTCTATTCGTTCATACATAGCCGGACCAAATGCAAACCAGCACCATTTGCAGCGATTAGGTGGCCACTTTGCAGGTGTTGTATGTGAATGCAACCCCCATAGAACTGACCGACCTCCTTGAGCTCAGGTGATGTCTATCAATGCTAGGAAAAGGGAAAATTTGTTCCAGAGCCGGCAGCGACGCGTCCCTCCATAAGGCCTATTGGCCATCCTAAGGCCTGTGATTACTTTCTTGTGTATCGCTGCACTCTGAAGGGTAAAACCGTCAGAGGCATCTGACATACTTGCGAGACTCACGCTGGATGGTACCGCCCCTGCAAGTAAGATATTGTCGTTACAATCCAACATTATTATTTTTTGGTGCTTAGCGTCAGCACCCCATCCCAAAGTATTGCATAAATTCATTGCGTAGAGAGTATTCAAGGTCCTCATCGTCGTCCTCCCTTCTCAGCCTCCTTGCGTTGAATCTTGGTGACAACGCGTTGCAGTGCCGTCTTGATCTCGCCCTTCTTGAACTGCGACAAATCGTAGTAATTGGGAGAAATATCCTGTGAATAGTCAATATGTGACGAACAGACTTTGGAGCTATGTGTACTTACCATGAGCCACTCGGGCTTGACGGAGGTAACGGTTCGGATGTAGTTCTTCGTAGTGAGCACAAATTCGTTGTAGATGACCCATTCGCTGTCCTCAGCCAGCACTGTGCTGGGATGCAGAAGAACATTTTGCTCATCCTTGACTGTAATGTAACTCTTGCCGTTGCCATCACGCTTAGCGACTTGCATGAAAAAGCCTGCGACGAGTGCACGTTGGATGTTCTCGTAGTACTTTTTGTTCTCAAATGGTGTAGACACAAGCTCCAACTCCTCACGCTCCATTATGCGCTTAAGCTGGAGACGGACGTTGTCGGCTTGTTGAAGCGCTCGGTATGACAGGAAGTGGTCATGGCACCATTGCTTTGGATTTGCCTGCGCCTCTTCGCTCTTGAACGCATGGTAGACGTTCAGCATTGTGAGGTGGTCGCCCTTAGGGTGCGCGAACAAGTCCTTCATCTCGTCTGCTCGCTTGCGGTTGTTGGCTGGACGGACGAAGATTTGAGGCACAGAGAGAAGTGCAGTGAGAGACAGCATCTCGTTAGAGCAGTAAAATTCGGGAGAGGTGATGAGCATGACTGCCAACGCAGGGTCCAGGGGAAATTGAGATGCGAGACTTCCCAGCGTGGTAAGTTCGCCCTCATCGTCCAGACATGCCAGGTAGTTGAGCTCTTCCAACGCACGCATCAGAGTCTCGGGCGCAGGAGGATCCATGAGATCAAAATGTACCAGATCGTCAACGCCAAGCTTCTTTAGCTCTAGAACCGTGCTTGCCAAGTTTGAGCGCAGAATTTCAGGATATGTCTGCTCAATGAGCTCCTTCTTGAAGGCAGCCTCGGTATACAACCGGAAGCATTTACCAGGGCGCGTACGTCCAGCACGTCCAGCACGTTGCTGTGCAGATGCCTTGGAGATGGGCGATACCAACAGCGACTCGACACGGATACGAGGGTTGTACACTTT